AATAAACCAAAATAAACATTTTGTTTTGTGTAACAATAAAGAATTTAATCTCAGTTTTAAAAAAAAAAATAATTTTGGGACAAAAACAGAAGTTGAAACATTATCATCTTCTACAGGGTGAAAACTCTGAAATTTGCTCCTTGTGGCAAAAGAGCCACCATGATGTTGCCTCTCATCTCCTCGTTTAGATTGGCGTGATTCAGACTCCGCTAAAAAATCATAGCTCTGCAGCCCTTGTACAGTTCTCTACAGATTTTAGCATGCACCGCAACTTTTAATAGTACTAAGACTCTTTTAGCAACACAGAGACTGTAATAGCTGGGATGGTTAAGGTGGCTAGCCAGCTATGTAGTCATTGCATCCCTGTGAATCATTGCCTAATGCAAAGGATTAGGGTTTTGGGTTTGGGTTATTTTTTTTTCAGATGAGTTAGTCAAGGGAGAAAAAAAAAAAAAAACCTACAACTTTATTCTCTCCTCTAGTCCTGCCACACGCAGAGCAGTAAGTGACGATTCTGAAGTTATCACTTGGCCTGGAGCTAAGCATAAGCAAGCTCGGGAATTATATAGTGAGGCACAGTTTGGGACATTAACAGCCGTGACCCCACTGCCTGCGTCAGAGCCCTGAAAGCCAAGGTGGCTGCTGCATTTGAAAGGCCAGAGGGTGCATAATCCAGCTAGCCCTGGGGTTGAAGAGCAGCGGCGTCCTCAGGGCTCCCCAGGGACCAGCCCCGGGAGCTCTGTCCCACTTTTGCCCCTTCTTCTTCCTCCTCTCCCTTTTCTGTGGCAAGAAGCCAATGCCTGGGCTTGTCCCAACACCTCATCCTACTGATGGCAAAAGGCAGTTTTGCCTCCACTGATAAGAAACCTTGAACAAACCTGAGTGAAAAGGTCTTCGCTGTTGCAAAGGAGCTGTGAAGCAGAATATCCTTAAAATGGAAGTGCACATATAAGACTCCTTTGCACAACACCCTCTGTGGTGTTGGAGCACTTACCTCGCTGACTTGAAGTGGGATGGTATGCAGGCTTTCTTGTTGCAAAGAGCTTACAGCTTTTTGGCTAAGATTGTCCATGGATGACTATTCAGTTACCCTTGCACAGTCTAAGTAACAATTAATTCTTTTCAGTCACAAATTACATGTTTCTACTTAACAATAGGAGATACCAGCCTCAAACTTTCCCCCCTAAAACCAAATTTAGCAAAGAGACATGCAAATGGGACCTAAAAAAGAGTTGGTTCAAGCCTCTGAAATAAATCCTTCTCATATCTGAGAATGAAGAGACATCTGAAGAAGAAAGTGTTATCCTTCTCCAGCTATGATAGTCATGGCAATGAATTTCCTCAGTTAGTTAGTTAATAAAGTCTTTCATATAGTATTGGATTCTTCAACAAAATAACTGCTGTTGATGCCAGAGAATCATAGAATCATTAAGGTTGGAAAAGACCTCTAAGATCATCAGGTCCAACCGTTAACCCAACACCACCATGCCCACTAAACCATGTCCCTAAGCGCCTCATCTACACGTCTTTTGAATACTCCCGGGGATGGTGCCCCCCCCTCTCCCCTGGAAAGCCTCTTCCAAGGCCTGACCACTCTTTCAGTAAAGAAATTTTTCCTAATGTCCAGTCTAAACCTCCCCTGGCACAACTTGAGGCCATTTCCTCTCGTCTTATCGCTTGTTACTTGGCAGAAGAGACCAACCCCCACCTCGCTACAACCTCCTTTCAGGTAGTTGTAGAGCGCAATGAGGTCTCCCCTCAGCCTCCTCTTCTCCAGGCTAAACAGTCCCAGTTCCCTCAGCCTCTCCTCATAAGACTTGTTCTCTAGACCCTTCACCAGCTTCGTTGCCCTTCTCTGGACACGCTCCAGCACCTCAGTGTGCTTCTTGTAGTGAGGGGCCCAAAACTGAACACAGGATTCGAGGTGTGGCCTCACCAGGGCCGAGTACAGGGGCACGATCACCTCCCTCCTCCTGCTGGCCACGCTATTTCTGATACAGAGTCCATACTTCATATATAATTCCTGTACTGAAGAGATGTCATTGCCTCTTCTTGTGGTCCAGGGAATATATGCAGATCTTCTGCTGGTACCTGTGCCTAGAGGTGCCTTTTGTCCCAGAGAATGGTATGTGTCAGGTCAGTGGACGGGGCTGTGGATCAGTGGATTCGCACCAGTGGGTGGGTGGAATAGCTTTAACCTTCCCTCCTTCCTGGCTGGCCCCAGTCCACAGCTGACTGTGGTGGGCAGAACAAGAGCATGATCACAGCTGCTTTGCAATCCTACATTTTGGGCCACTTCCAGAGGTAGCACAAATAGGCACTTCTGCCACAGTTCATTCAAGTGAATTTGCTTGTGTTTCTGTCACTGAGCAACAGGTATGATCAACTTTACAGTGATCAGGACTGCTCAGTGACATATTAGTAATAGTCCTTTAAAAATAGCTCATGTTATTAGGTGGAGAACATTTTAGACAAAGTCAGATGTGTAAAAGGACTGCATTTAGTAGTCAGAAGGCAAATTGAGAGCAGAAGTTTAAAAAATGATCATGGCGACATGACGTGAATGCATTTGGCTGCACCCTATGTTTTGGGTGCTTATCAGGAGTGGAGTGCTGGCGCCTGCATGTGAGTCATCCAGCAAATATTGCAAATAACATGCTCAGCATTGCCAGATTATAGGTCTAAGCAGAAGCATCCTTGGCGTACATACCCACTGAAGTGATGAACAGTTGCCTACTATAAACCTGAGTATTGAGTTGCATAAACAACCCTCTGGTGTGCACCTCACTCCTATACAATTAAGTTATTCCAAACTTCTTTAATTGTTTCTGTAGCATCCTCCAGCGAGCTAAAGATTGTTTGTATACAGAAAAAGAATTTCTACATTTGTTCACGACTTTTTGAAGCAGCATGTTATTATTTCTGAGAGGATGAAATAATCAGTGACACAAAATTATAGTTTCCCTGCCTAGAAAGCATCCCTGTCAAATAGGATGCTGGGAACAATGGAGCCTCAGAGGGTATTTATAGTAGAGAAGAAAATACTATGAGTATGTAGACTAAAATCCACACTCTTTATGTCGTTTCTATGTTCTGTCACAGGCTTCCTGAAAGCTGCTGCACAAATCACTTTGGACAATAATTTTCTCGTTATTCAGGTGCCCAATTCTAACTGAAAATGAATTCAGCACCCAAAAACTTTTCCATTTTTACTCATAGTCCATTTGCAGCTGCATCGCTTCTGTCAATACGACTAACAGCAATGTTCTGATGAAAGCAACACTGAAAGCCTCTGAGCCACTCCCTTACTATATCACTACCACACTGCTGAGGATACTGCAGAAGAACAAGGACCAGAATGGATTTTAACATGAAATTTGAAAAGAGAGCATGAATTTGACTGGCTAACAATGTGAAAGACTGTTTTAAACAGTTTTCAAGCTGTACATTAAGAAATGCAGAATGTCTTTTACAAAGAGAAGGCAATAGGGCAGATGATGTGAAGGGGCAAAAAAAGAAGGGACAATGAACAAAGAGTAGGCATCATAACAACAAACTCCTGTCATTTAACATCATATTCTGTCACTACTTTTCAACTCAACTTTCCAGCTTTCAGTTTGCATTCAAGGGTTGAACGTCTGTTGACTTAAGAGTTAAGTTTCTCAGCTTCAGCACTGATTCTTACTACAAATTTCATTATACCTGCCACCAAGGTCATTAGAAAAATCAGATGCAACACCCATTTGCAGCCATCCAACTTGGCCCATTCAAATGCAGATCAGGTCACCTTTAGTTAATAAAAGCTGTGGGAAAATCTCATTTGCATCATCAATTAAAAGTGTTCAGAAGTTTTTATAGCCCTGAGTATGCAAGTTTGTGACACCCCAGGATCATGCAATTTCTGTCTGTTTCTCTCTCTCATTAAATAAAAGCCAGATGTATGGAAGTTAGCATTGGTGAAAGTGACTTTAAGATAATACTGTGTCATCATTTTATTAAAAGGTCAATATAAAAAGCCCATTAAAAAGATAAGTGAAAAAATCCAAAGTACAATCAGCTGTTCAATATTCACCCCTCAGCAAGATTCAAAAAGGACATTCATGCTTTTAAGTTTCTTTAATAATCGGTTTCTTCTCCTCCTTGGAAGAAAGTCAATATACTAACTTTCAGAATTGAGCTGTAGGTCAAATGGTTTATCTTTTGACTGTTAAAGCCTCAGAGAGAAAATATAGCTTAAGAGTTGATCAAGATGAAATCTGCTTGAAATGAACAGTTTAAATTGTATGGAATACTTGCATATGCTTATGTATTTATATGGGAATATGGCAATACAGATATTCTTTTCACATCTCTAATTTTGCTGAAGTTAGTACTGGTGAAACAGTTTTGTGTGGCCAAAAAGACTTAGAAACTATGTGTGCTGATGGGCTATGTCTGGTTTTATCCTCCTGCTGTACTGTCTCTCCTGTGGAGCACTACTGCCTGGTGAAGACTGGAAGCAGAGAAATCTGTTGGGTTTTCCCCTCATTTAGCATGGAGGGCCGAGCTCTCTGAGCCACGCTCTCCAGCGTGACAGCCATAGAAAAGGAGCACAGGCAGAAAGGTGTGGGGGGAAAAAAAAAAAAACAATTTCTGGTGTTTAGATGGGTTTCTACCAGTACTGGGACCAAGTGTGTAAAGCCTGAGAGGCAGTGACTCTGCACCATGATGCCCAAAGGCTAGGTGAGGAACTTCAAAGGGGGCTGCCAGTGAGTAGGAAGGTGCCAGTGGGAACATTATCAGGAAGGGAGGCTGCTCCTGCAGCCAGCTACAGCCTGCAGCTGAGGGCAAGCCTCCCTAAGGCAGCAGAGCAAGGCCAGCAAGGGCCAGGCACACCTCCTGCTACAGCCCAGGCAGGGAGGCTTCATGTCCCAGTCAGGCCAATATCAAGTCCTACTACCTACCAATCCAACAAGAAACATTACTAAGCTCACTAACCTTCTATCCTCTTATCTTTCCAGCAATCTTGACACAGAAGAACTCTGCAGTAAGTTCCTTTTTTCGGCAAGGAGATAATCTGTGCCTGCAGCAGCCTTGTGCAAGTGAACATACCATGTGATACGATTTTTTTTCTGTTTAATCTGTGTAGCTCAAACAGAAAATAATTTCCATTGAAAGATCTCCTGGGAGAATGCAGATGGCTTATAATCTTTCAGGCTGTCATTCATTACCTGCAGAAATTACTTTGAAAATATTTTTCCTAATCAATACTTCACATTGTCTGAACTTCAAGTTCTGTTCTGATGTAAAGATAGATAGATACCTTTTATCTTATTTCCCTTTCATGTGAGATATTTTTTCTAGTTAGTTCATCACTTTCAGAGGTGTGAGTGCTTTGGCAATTTTGAAAGAGATTGTCATGTTAGTACCCCACTGGAGGAAAGTTCATTATTTTCCTCCAACTTGAGCCAGTAAGAACAGCAGTTTGACAAGTTCTATCATCCTGCATCACAAAAACACTCCTTCAAGGACTAGAATTTGGCCTAGTTACACATTTCTGGGCTGTGAGTCATTTCCCCAAAATTCTGCTTGCTCTCCAACTGATCTTAAAGCACCTGATTTAGGAATGCTTCTTGCAGCAGAAAGCAATTCACAGAAAATTTCTGCAAATCCTCCTACAAAATATCAAAAAAACAGTTATACTTGTCAAAACCAGCCTATTTCTAAGGGAAAGATGTCAGCAAATGGTAGCCTGATAAATTTTTCAATGGTCAACAATGTTGAAGACCTATAAAAGCTGAAAACCCTGTCAAGTTGAATACCAGCTCATTTACTCACCCACAAGATGACTCTACCCATGGCCAAGAACCCACTGAGAAGCACCCCAGTCTGTGGCTGATAGATATATGACAAGAGGCTCAGCTGAAGTGAATTGGGCTGTGATGACTCCTGCTGGTGAGAATCTGGCCAAAATTATATAAAACTGGCCAAGGAAGAGAGGGGGTTTCGTTCCACAAGAGATTTACTGCTGTTGATGTTGCACTGGAGGCTTACAGATTTGCTCAGCACCTGACCCCACCAGCCATCTTAGGCTGGCCAGAGGGCTGAGGAGGATTTCAGCCTGCCACTGACTCTGTTTACTGTCTGTTTTGATTAAATACAGGCTGCTTCAGCTGCCTTTTAAATCTTTCATAGGTTGCCACTAGGGTGTTTCTCATCTGTGAATCTGGTACTGAGTTCACTCAACACGTGTTCAAGCTAGTGATTATACAGCTTTTTCTGAGTTATCTCAGTTCTCCTTGGAAATGAAGCTTCACTTCCAAGGATGCTAATTCACAATATGTTTTCATTCTAAATCATTTCATTCAGCCTCTCAGCTATACCAGGTTATGTCGCAGCACTCCTGAAACATTATGCTTTCATGACTCCCCTGAGAAGCTCACACTGACCTCTTAAAAGCCTCAAAGTATTGCTATTTATTATTTCAAAAAGCTCCTATCTAATCTTGTTCTTCCTGTCTGCCATTTAGATGTTGCTTTTCATACTCTTTCAGGTGATCTGATGTCTAAATGCCTTGTCTAACACAGTCTCTAGCTTTAACATCATTTTCTTTCTTTCTTTTTCACACTTTTTCCTTCCTGTGCCTCCCTCTGTTGCATTTTGCCGCATTGACCAAATGGGAACTCGGGTCATGCCTCCTCCTCTCGCTGTAATCTCTCTGATTGAATTATGCCCCCTGATTCTACGTCAGCTCTTTCTGTTAAAATGTCCTTTGCTTTGAACAGCTACGCAAGGACATCCTGCAACTTACATTATTTCCACGATTTTTGTTAAAAGTATTTTGCATGCATCATATTTGTTGAAAATATAATCACAGTACCTGGGACTAGAAGCTTATCTGGCCAACTCATGGTCTCTTCGCTTCTCAGAGAGAAACAACTGGACTCAGCTGACCTTGACTCACAACAGCCCCGACTTGATCTTATCTCCTCTAAGGGCTTTATCAGTGTTGTTCATTTTTGTATCAATATAATCAGATTTAGTACATTACACATGAAAACTTCATTTCCTCCTAGTAACTGTAAAGTACACTATTAAACTGAAAATCCAGTTTAGAAAGAAAATTTAGGTATTTTGAAAGTAGGTCTCTTTCAGCTCTCAAACTGATATTTTAAATTTTTGTCAATTTGGCAACTCATTTATTGAAAGAAAACATTTTGAAACACTGATTTTGGTATTTTAAGTACTCCAGGGATTATTTTGAGGGAAATAATACAAAATTTAAAAAGAAAATCATCCCTTTCATTGTAACTTGTGTTCATTTTATATATTTAGATAGTTAATAATACCATAATTGAATTCAGACTTGATAAAATTGATACTTAATGAAATATTGATTTTTCAGGTCATGAATAGGGTTTTCTTCTTCTTTTAGAATATTTTTCCCAGCACTTAGGAGAGTATGAAAATGTTCTCTCTGTCTTGGAAGACTTAAACATAACCATACTGAAGGCAATGGACAAAACAAAGAAAGTAAGTAAAAATTGTGAAATTTTCTTTACATTGTATATTTTACTTATTTGAACATGTATCCAGTATTTTTCTTATCTAGATAAAGTTACTAATTCATATTTAAGTTCTTCCACATATACGTTTGTAGCAAAAGCCCAGTAGGAAAAGGCTTGTCAAAATTGTTGAGTACCAAAGCTGTAAAGCTCTGCTGCAAAGTATTACAGTTTGGATATAACCAAAATTGTCTTTGCAAATGATCTGAAGAATGTTCTTCATATTGTCGTACCAAGAGAGGATTCCATGTCCCATGCCAAATGTGGGTAAGTATTATCAGCATATCAACATTTGAAAATAGTCCAAATTTGAAAAAATAATCCAAATTTTTGAAGTTGAAAACATGCTAGTAAAAGATGCTAACGACTTAAACTATATTAATGACTACCATTAAATTAGGTAGGCAAGAGTCATCTGGAGACATACTGGGGAGTATTGTTAAATGTAGATTCCACGATAATTTAAAAAAATTAAAAAGGGCTGTAATATCATTCCCTGTGTTCCCTGAAGCTGAACCCTAGTACTTTTATAAAACCATTCTGTAGGCAGCGGCTGTGCGTCCCAACTACTTAGTCCTGAAATACAATGTAAATCACTTGAAAATATTTCTGATAGTAACAACAGAAGACATAGAGATTTGGGCTGAGTGAAACACCCTGACCGAGAACAAGATTTCATTTCCATTTCAGGCATTTTAAACAAAAACAGCACTCTCAGAGTCAGCAAAGAGGAGGTGTTAGGGCTGTTGCCCACCAGTGCAGTGAGGAGGCATTCACCCTGGAGGGAGGAGACGTTTCTCAGGAGAAGCTGGGTTTCTCCATCCGTCCATCTGACGGGGGATGTAGCCGAGCTGCAGGACATACTAGGCAGCCGATCCACTTGGCACTCAATTCATTATGGTCATACCTGCTCTTATGTTCATACCTGCTCATTCCTACCACATCCCAGCTCGATGTGTGATCAAAAGTGCATCAAGACGTTGGGTAATATGCTCCTTTTCCCTGGCTGAACGGTTATATTCTGTGCAAGGTGGAACAGCTTCAAAACGTGAAGGAAAGCACAAATGAGGGAAAGAAGTGAACCTAGATCCTCCAAACCCAACCCCAGACCCACACCACAAGGCTATTCACTGGAAGGTGAGCCATCAACAACAGAAATTTCAGCCAAAAGTATTCAGTGAGATCCCACAGGGGGAAAAAACCCTGATTTTTTCAGTCAATCAATGAAGAGATCAATGGGGAGAAAGCTGTGCTTCTCTAGCAAGCTGTTATCTTTGGCATTCAGGTGTTTGCAAGAGTGCAGTACTCATACATTTTACATGAACTGCCAAAATAAAAACCTGAAAGTGTAGCTTATTTATTTAGAGCTTGAGCCAGTAAGCTGTATGTCTCTCTGTTCATGCTGTGCATCTTCCACTCCTAATGAAGTGAATGTGTGCTGACTCACTGCCTCATTGAGCTGGACACTGAAAATCAACAGATTAGTTTATTCTAGCCATGCATGATTTAAAAAAAAAATTAGCCATGTGTATATACTACTGCTAAAGGGCAGGACATGTCATCTGATAACTACTGTAAATAAATAGAACACGGCATTTAAGAATTGCTTCAGAAGTTAAGTACAGAGGAGGAGCCCCAGTAGACTAATAAGAGTTGTAAGAAATAAGCATTGGCCTGACTGGAAAATGGATAAGAAAACCTGGAATATTAGTAAGTGTTTCATCTGTCTGCTTGAAGAACCCATCTTAAAAAATGCCCACACCATGATTTCTTTGAATTTTATTTTCCTGACTGAAGATTCAAGCTTAATGGGTTTTCTCTCTTTCAGGAATATCCCAACTGACTGTTCGTTAGAGGTGGCAGAACTAGAGCAAGGCTAACACTGGAAAAAATACTTTTAATTCCAATTAGTAGACACAGTGTGTGAACACAGTCAAACAAGAAAAGTGTCCTCAAATATTCTAAAATAGAGCTTTCTGCCAAGGATATGCCCAGCAACTACAGCTTTGTATGGAAATTAAATTCTCAATTCAAACTTGGCATTATTCACAACAGGAACTCAGTTCTCAGGAAACAGATAGGTTATGTGAACTGACTACCTGATAAATCATTGGAATGCAAATAATAAAATTTCCATCTTAAATAGTCCAAGCTTTTATTGAAGTGTAAAATCTGGAATACATCCACCTAAAATCAGAGCTGGTGGTGGAGCAAAAGCTAGTTAGCATATTGAGATAGCATGGATAAATGATCTTCATCACGTGACACACACTACATGTGATGTAGCTTCTAGCTGCAGTTGACTCTGCAGCTCAAACAAGAAGGTACTCAGAAACGGGTGGTCTGGTTATGAATGGCCATTGGCATGTATGCAGAGCAAGGCTTGGGTTTCCCCTCCCAGTGCACAATAAAACTGTCATTGCCTGCCATTGCAGCCATTGCAGCCACCGAGTCCCTTAAATAGTCACTGAGCAATAGGAGCATTTATTACGATCTTCTAAGCCATCATCTAGTTGGAAAATTCCTATATAGAAAAAAAGCCCAGAAATGAAGACCTACACTTTGAGAGCTAGAAAGACATGGTGTATCTACAGTCGCTGAGTCAGTTTCCAATGACCAGGACCAAATTTCCAAGGACCAATTCTCCTATTAAAAACCAAAAGTAAAAACTCAGATTGAACCTGAACTCCACCCTGCAGAGCATGGGGCTGATTACAGACCCAGTCCTCAGGTTTGCCGTGAGCTTTCCATCCCCTCTGACTTTTCGTGGATTGGAGAAAGCTCAGCGCCTCTAACTATCAGTCTCTGCTAAACTTTCCCAGAGCGCATGCCACTTCAGGTAGGCAGCTCATTCAGTCTTAAATATTCGGGGGGGGGGGAAAGGAGCAACTTGGTACTTCATTCATTTTATTTATCCAGTTTAGAGTCGGATAAACAATCACCACTCAGTCCTTCCTGTAGAAGATCCCTGCTTTCCTACCAATTCTCGTTGTCTGTACTCAGTAGGTACTTTGCACGAGAGGCAGCTGCGGAATTGGAGCCCTAGCAAAAATGTTCAGCTTCAGTTTCCAAGGAAACCCCAGAGAAGGAAGATGTGTCAGTCTTCAACGAAAACAGTGGATCAGAATGTCTGAAAAATCTAAATATCTAATCTATAAACCCTTCTTATTCCAGCTATAAACAGAACTAGAAATTTAAAAAACCCTAAATGTAGTTTAATGTATTTTTCTTTACTTTTTGGTGTACAGTAATCTAAGTTTGATAACACCAAAGTGTGTGACATTATTTGACTCATATCTGTCAGTCTAGTACAAAAGTGTGCACCAAGTAGCTTTTGCACATGAAATAGATTTGACTCTTCATGTTGTCTTGTTTCAGTTTTGAAAACTACATGCATTAATGAACAAATACCTTGGGTTTTGTTTACAAATATTTCCAACCTGTTCAGTCTTTAGTCAGAAAGATCTCTCGCCAAAAGCAACTGGAGTTTGGCTTGGCTACAGACTCCTGGATTTAAATCAAAATCAATCAAATTGTCCCCATCACTCCAAATTATTTCCATGTGTAGGTATTCTTAACCCAACAGATTAGCAGATAACTGTCTCCTGCAAGTTAATTGCAGCATAATTTCTGTTTACTTTATTACCCTCTGTGGTTTGAAAGGGTTGTCAGCTTTCCTGAACTGAGTTTTTCTCCAGTCTTCCAGTCCTGTGCTGTCTGAAAGTGAAAATATCGAGTCATCTATGGGAGAAAACATTCCAGTGTGTTAGCAGGTTCAAGAAACTTTGAAACCAGACTTCCTTTCACCATTCTGGGGCCAGATCCCTCCAGCCTATCCAAAATAAATATCTCCTGGGAAGACAGGAAGCCCTCGCTGGAGTAGAGTGGTTCATGCTCCGTCGCTTGAAGGGAAGGTGCTAAGCTAAAAATGCAGAGAAGTAGATATGGCAAGGAACATCTTTCGCAGGGAAAAGACTGAATTGCATTTGCAAGCAGCATACTTTTAATACGGAAGACATCTTACCAAAGGATGCTGGGGAAGCGACTGTTTTGGTACTGGTCTCTTGTGTTTTATCCTTACACAAGGAAGGGAAACACGTATCTGAGGATTTTTAGAGGGACTTACGGCACTTGCTATTTGATCATTTCTTTCCTCAGGATGGAGAGTCTGGATGAGTTGCTTATACAGGAGTGGTGAGGACAGATTAATCATTGGTGTCAGTTGTTTTTCTTGTACCTGCCACGTCGATATTTTCCTGATCAAAGTACAAGCTGGGTTAGTTCTGTTTATCTCATTTCTTCTTCATGTTATGTACAGGAAGCATTAAAAATTAAAGACTCGGCAAAACTTTACAAATGCATTGGAAGGCTTGTTTCTTTAAGCCTTTTTTCTCTGACATTTTTTCTAGCAAAACACAGAAGCATATTTGATTAAAATATTTAATCTTAACTTTTTTATTACCCAAATAAACATAACATTTTCAGCAAGCTGCATTTTTATTACATTCTGTAGCTTGCAGTCACATATAAATACAATGAAGAGAAAACTTGCAACCCGCAGCACAGAAAATGAAATTTGTCACTGAGTAATGATGTAGATAGATAAAAATAGACCAGGTTTTTTAAGGTGCTTGACATCTTGGTTCTATTGGCTTGTGAATACTGAAAATCAGAAACTTTCAGACTAAAGAACACGTCTTCCTCAAGTTATCAAGCCATAAAATTGTTGCTATTTGTCAGCTATTCAGTAAGAACAAGTTTTGCTCTATCATTTTTATTTCTGGTATTGCTATAGTTTATTGCAAATGCAACCTGCTGGTGGTGATGAACTATTCTGTACTCAGTAAACTAGCAAAAGCTCATTTAATCACCAAAAACGTAATTTTCATATGAAATGAAGTTGGCAATATAGAAGTATTCAGGGGTTTAAACAGGCATCTAGTGGTTTTTTAGAAAACCTGGGGTGTT